TTACACTGCCAGTATCCAAATAAGTTGAATGACGGTCTATAATTTTTCATTAAATTTTTACCCTGCTTAAATAAAAAAATCAAAAATTTTAAAAATATCTGCATTTTTGCTTTAGCAGCTTTACATATCTCTATTAGTTTTTGGATTATTAAAAAAAATGAAATCCACCCATCAGTATAAATGCTTTTATTTTGCACCAGAGGTTAAATTGACATTTTAATAAGTTGGAAGGAGTAGGGTAAGTCGCTCTTTATCCGTAAGGGTAGATAAAGGTGATTATGCATTTTAATTACATCTGTCATTCTTATTTCAAATGGGACGCGGAGCTCAAAATAAAAATGAAAATGACCGCGACGGCGGAACCTAGCCTTGCAATTTTTGACGTTTAAATTAAATTCAGAATTGTCAGAAGCCTTATAATATGGCTTCTGCTATAAAATAAATTTTTGCATGGGTAGTACCTACCCACCCTCTTTGTCTTTTAGCGATGATTTTTTAAGGAATGGTTGCTTATCAGTTCTTCAGTTGTAAACCATAATTCTAATACATTTATACGATCTTCAACGTAAATTCATCTGTTTCCATAGAAATTAACAGTCAGATAAACTTACTAGTGTAATAAAGAACGCTGTTTATTGCAGATATTTGATTTATACACTGTTTTGCACAAATCAATTCATTTAGAATTTTAGAGGCGAAATTGTTTTTGTATTTCGATTTGCTGATCGATATATCACGAACGTGACCATTTAATCATAAATCGAATCTCGTTCGAATCAATACCCGAACATTAATCCAGCAAGTAGCGTTCACAAAATGTTACTGATTTAACCAGAAACTTTCGTATTTACACTGAAGTGAAAGCAATTTTACTCATCACCTTTAGTAATTATTTGCAAAAACCTGGAGGCCTGTTATAATGGTTTATTCTTTATTAAATTGCAACCTACGCAAACGACTTTGTGTACATTAAACAGTCATTAGTTAAGAATCGATTTGTAATTTTCGATGTTTTAACAATGTTGAAACACATATACGCACTATAAATGGTTAGTTTACGTCCATTTCTTCACGATGGGGTTCAGTGGTGGGCCAATGAGTTAAGAATGCATATATGATTGTACTATATAGAGTTTTCACCTCGCGTGTATCGGCTCTTGACTCGCGCTGACCTCTTCACCTCTCTCACATTACCATAGGAAGAAGGCTGGTAGACCATCTTAGTGATAGGTGAATTGTAGGTACGATACTTCCCCAATTTTAATCAAAACTCATTTGGCTTATCGGGAAGACACATAACTTCGTTCGTCCACAATTAAAACACTTATATGTATAATTACAACTTAGTTTTATGTATCTGCCCACGCCGTATATGCTCTATCCGTTTCATGTTCGAATTTTTATACACATTTGTTATTAAAATGTTAGTACGTGTTTCGGTCGGCACGAGTTTACCAATATGGCATCGACTTCTTTCACTCTTCAATGAAATATGCGTAGGGATAGTAATTTACTCGACGAAAAAAGCTCGACGCTAATTGAAATTTGGTCCCTGTAATGAACTTATCCTACTCGTAATCATTTTGCAATTACTCAAGGCAACTGTTCCATTATGGACTAATCGACAAATTTCGTCTTTGCATAAAAAGTATGCCAAACCCAAATGTTATCCAAAAAAATTGTGGGATTATCGACAATTGTGCAATGTACACTACGTAATAATAACGCGCTGATAGGATTTACATAATTGCAACTGTACGTTAACAATACGCGTATTATTTTTATCACCTTGAATATGTATTAAATCCGCTTAATCATGAATTAGTATTAGTTGTATTACGTTTCTGTCTTCAATAGATATGTATCAGGTTGTGTAATTGTACTTTCATTTATTCCATCTATCGTGCGTTAACTAAAATTGTAGGGTGCAGTCGAGTGGTTCTACCTAATCTTGCGGATTACATCACCCCATTTTGGGCAAGGATGACTTTTTTCAATGTAATACGACTACTGAATCCACTGTTTCCTTATTTTCTATTACCTACCTGTTTGTCTATTTACATAATTCAAGCCTTAGGGATCTGACCAAAATTGTGTATGTATGTAATAATAATTGATTAATTGCATTATCCGTTATATTCACTTGTTTAGTTGTGAATATTGCTCCGGCTCCGTGCGTTCATTTGTTTTATAGTTTGAATGGGTTTGCAATTTTAATTTTTAACGCATTTTTGAAATCCCCCTCTGCTGACCAAAATTGTGTATGTAGTAATTCTCCATGCGTTTGATGTTCCTCATCCGGTTTTTATTGAGAACGACCCCTTTACAACTTGTACCTGTAGTCCACCGCGCATATTTCGATTAGGTAATTGCAAATTTATGGTTTGTAAGGACAATGTCCACGAAACACATCCTCAATTTTATCCAGTAGTTGTATATTATATTATTATATGTAACGGGCGATCAAAAATGGGTTGCTGTCGAGTCGCCTTTGAGCCCCGAAAAAAAAATTGTCTCAGATCGACCCGGAAAAAAAATGTTCTTATAGAATGTGGCCTGTAGAATCCATAATTTCAAACAGTTCCAAGATTGGGCTACTAGTTCAAAAGTTACAGCCCTTTGAATTTTCTTTCGAAATTATGGTTTCTAGTCTATAACTTTTGATTGAGAAGTACGATCGAAAAAGTACGAATTGTTTTGGATGTAGAATCCATAATTTCAAACAGTTCCAAGATTGGGCTATTTTTGGTAAAAAAGGAAGGTTATACACTGCCTTTTTTTGAGCCCCGAAAAAAAATTGTCTCAGATCGACCCGAAAAAAAAATTTTCTTATAGAATGTGGCCTGTAGAATCCATAATTTCAAACAGTTCCAAGATTGGGCTACTAGTTCAAAAGTTACAGCCCTTTGAATTTTATTTTGAAATTGGTTTTTAGTCTATAACTTTTGATTGAGAAGTCTGATCGAAAAAGTACGAATTGATTTGTTTTATACGCACCCAAATTAATAAGAAAAACTGTTTTCCCGAGAAATTTTGGTGTAGTCGATTTTTGGTACACCGCCTTTTTTGAGGCCCTAAAAAAAAATTGTCTCAGACCGACCCGGAAAAAAATGTTTCTTATAGAATGTGGCCTGTAGATTGTAGAATCCTTAATTTCAAACAGTTCCTAGATTTGGGCTACTAGTTCAAAAGTTACAGCCCTTTGAATTTTTTTTCGAAATCGGTTTCTAGTCTATAACTTTTGATTGAGAAGTCTGATCGAAAAAGTACGAATTGTTTTGGATTCTACGTACCAAAATTAATAAGAAAAAGTGTTTTCCCGAGAAATTTTGGTGTAGTCGATTTTTGGTAAAAAAGGAAGGTTATACACTGCCTTTTTTTGAGCGCCGAAAAAAGAAATTGTCGCAGATCGACCCGGAAAAAAATTTTCTTATAGAATGTGGCCTGTAGAATCCATAATTTCAAACAGTTCCAAGATTGGGCTACTAGTTCAAAAGTTACAGCCCTTTGAATTTTCTTTCGAAATTGGTTTCTAGTCTATAACTTTTGATTGAGAAGTCTGATCGAAAAAGTACGAATTGTTTTGGATTCTACGCACCAAAATTAATAAGAAAAAGTGTTTTCCCGAGAAATTTTGGTGCAGTCGATTTTTGGTAAAAAAGGAAGGTTATACACTGCCTTTTTTTTTGGCTCGAAAAAAAAAATTGTCTCAGATCGACCCGGAAAAAAAATTTTCTTATAGAATGTGGCCTGTAGAATCCATAATTTCAAACAGTTCCAAGATTGGGCTACTAGTTCAAAAGTTACAGCCCTTTGAATTTTCTTTCGAAATTGGTTTCTAGTCTATAACTTTTGATTGAGAAGTCTGATCGAAAAAGTACGAATTGTTTTGGATTCTACGCACCAAAATTAATAAGAAAAAGTGTTTTCCCGAGAAATTTTGGTGCAGTCGATTTTTGGTAAAAAAGGAAGGTTATACACTGCCTTTTTTTGAGGCCCGAAAAAAAATTGTCTCAGATCGACCCGGAAAAAAAATTTCTTATAGAATGTGGCCTGTAGAATCCATAATTTCAAACAGTTCCAAGATTGGGCTACTAGTTCAAAAGTTACAGCCCTTTGAATTTTCTTTCGAAATTGGTTTCTAGTCTATAACTTTTGATTGAGAAGTCTGATCGAAAAAGTACGAATTGTTTTGGATTCTACGCACCAAAATTAATAACAAAAAGTGTTTTCCCGAGAAATTTTGGTGCAGTCGATTTTTGGCTAAAAACGAAGGTTATACACTGCCTTTTTTTGAGGCCCGTACAAAAATTGTCTCAGATCGACCCGGAAAAAAAAATTTTCTTATAGAATGTGGCCTGTAGAATCCATAGTTTCAAACATTTCCAAGATTGGGCTACTAGTTCAAAAGTTACAGCACTTTGAATTCGCGCCATCGACAAATACCGGAAATACGAAAAAGTAAATTTAAAATACAAGTTTAGCATCTTTATTAATTAATTAATTAATCTCATTTTCCCAACATTTGTGGTTAGGAACGAGATTTTGAAAAACGGTTTTCACTGGCCTCTTTGGATGTTATTTGGCTACTTTTTCATAAAGAAAAAGTCATATCATTCCATTGCATTTTTTTGATTTTTTAGGGTTTTGGGTCATAGTGTCAAAACTAGCCCCCTGGCGGATAAGGTTTCAACTAAATTAACTATATTTTGGTTGATTCTCATTGCCCAAGGAATGCATACCAAATTTGTTCAAATCGGTAAAACGGTTAAGAAGCTCCACGCCATCTTTGTTGTTGAAATAACTGAGTTTTTGTTTTTACGAAATTGATAGGTAAACTGGTTCTCTTTAAAAATTTGAAAAAAAATCTATTTTACTATGCGAAATTTAAAGAATATGCAATTTCAAAATTTAAGATGGCAGTTACGCCTTCTGTTGGTCATTTTTAGAACTTGAAAATATTTTCCTGCGATTCTTCATGACCGATTTACCCCATAATTTTTTTTACCCCTAAGTCATATGACGAACGGTTCTCGAGATATGGCCAAGCAATAGCTAGTCACCCGGTACATACCTAGCACATTTTGTTGCGGAAACCATTTGGCGACGTGGACGTTTTTAGGCGTGCCTGGTACGTCATCGGAGTCAAATTTCCACAGCACCGTGTAGGGAAGCTCAGCGAACGCTTCCAGAATCGCCTTCCTAGTCTCGTTTGGTAAATTTTCAGTGTTGACGTTCGTTCCCAGGCTGAAGTAGATGACACCAGATGACGCTGCGTCTAATACTCCAACTAGTTTCTGCGAAAATCGGTTTACTGGAGTACTCCAGAACGCTTGGTACTTACATTTGGAAGTGGAGCTGGTGGAATCCGATAGGATCCGCCACCTATTTGGATGACGTTTGGAAGAAATGGTTTAGGCTTGTAGAGTATGGGGTCGGAATTTGTGAAGAGGAGGCTGGCATTTTTTGCCATCTCCACCAAAGATGAGTAATTCGAGCCGAAGGACGTCTCGACGAGCTCCTGCTGAAGGGAGTAGAGGTAGTGATTGTATTCAAATTCGGCATACAAAGAGAATGCGATACTCTTCAGCCGTTTAAGCAGAGTGGAGTGATCCGTGAACGATAGCATGTAGTCCGGGTAAACCACGGGATGAATGGGGTGACCGATTAGCCTCAAGACGTTACTCGGCACGTCCACGGAGCTCACACCGATGTGCGGGCACCTAAACCTCTCGGCGAAGGCGAACATGCTGGGTAGGAAGTACTCCACGATCAACAAGTCGAAAGAGGCGTCGCCGTGTATCAAACCCTGCACACTAGGATGCGCCAGCTGCCGTCGCGAAAACTCCTGCATGGCCAATGTCATCGCCCTGACCGATTTGACAAAATTGTTTTGGGTGCCCTCGACCACTTCCGCCAAAACTGACCGCCAGGCGTCGTACGAAAAGTGAAGGTCAATTTCGGTAAGGTTGGTCAGCTTGGCGTCGTTTATCGGATCAGTCGTGAGTGTGGTCACCTGGTGTCCACGTAGCGATAACTCCCGCCACAACGGCTGAAACACGATCTGGTGACTGTAGGACGGAAAGGGAATAATTCCCAGTATTCTGGCACAGTTTCCGCCCGAAATTAACGCCCAAAATACCACAAACGGTACGAACATTTCGACGTGATACCCACGAGACGAGATTACGTGACTAGTAATTTCAATCATTACGTTGCTATCGACGTGATAAGTAGGTAATGAATGAAGTGGCGTGCGCATTCAAGATTAGGCCATGGCGACAAACTACAGCGCAAGTAGTTCTGCTACCTTGATCCAACATCTGGTGTCTTGAGGTACCCCATTTAAATAACGACAGAACAGCTGCTTCTAATTACCTACGTACGTGAACTCTCTTCCTCTAATCGGATTCGATTTTTAACTACGTACGTCTCTTCCAGTGGTTTACAAACCGCAAGAAAGCGCTTACAAACATCCTTAAACTACCAGGAGAGAATATTGGGCAAAGAGGTTTTTCCCATACCAAGTTGAACTCTTGGTTCTGTACGTGCCAGAATATGTCTCTAATTCCCATACAATGTAAGGTTTTAATTTCTTCTAATAACATTTTTGAATGTATCAGGAGCAAGAATCTAAACCGGTTCTTGTTTTTATATACTCTCCTGGTACTAAATCTAGTCTTCGAAAAGATTTGGGTCTCATCTGCCCTATAAAATTTTTAAATGTACCAGGAGCATAGAAGCGCAAAAGGTTTCTCTTTGTTTGTTGTGTGAAGACTAGAGAAGAGTAAGAAAAATGTAAAAATCACAATAATATTTCAGGATTCCTGATATGGTTGGAAGTTATTCAGGTGCACTGTCTCTTTTGCCACAGCTTATGCAATACCTTTGTATTATGTTGTCTTGATACACATTTTCTTGAATAAATCGTTGATGACAGGAGTGCAAGAAGTTGTCGGAATTGTTGAAGCGCACGAAAAAAGGTGTTCGAAATTTTTGATGGCACATTCTTCTGATACCCATTCAAAAATCCTTAAAAAAAATTATTGTACCACAGAAGCTCGCCACTCTGATTCGAATTTTCTCTGAAAGTCGAAGGTGTGACATTTCCGCTCTCGAGGGTGGAATTTATGCACCCCTAATATGATTGTTTCATTTGAAGAAAGTATGTTCTAGAAATCTTAGTGTTTAGAAACCAGAAAGGGCGATATAACTAAAAATTCTCACTTTTTGCTCCTGATACTTTGGAGGCACGAATTGCTGCTCAAAATCAATTCATTTCTGTTCCCCTGATATTGTTAACCTTATCGCAGGTGTTCAAAGAACGCTATACAATTCAGTCGTCAATCCTGATAAAAGTGTACACTTCAACAACCAGATTTTAGCTCCTACTCTTTGGTATCAGGTGCGATTATGGTTTGATCTCTGCAGTTGTATCAGGATCACAAGAAATTTTCTTAAAGATACAGATTGGGTACTTATTTATCTTCTAAGGTATCGTCTAAGGTACGCACAGGAGAGAAGAGATCGGGAGGCGACGAGATGACAGGAGTAGCAGGATATTACGGTAGAAGTTACCGAGAAAAGGTAGGAGTGAACAAGAGTAACCAGAAAAGAAGAGAGATCAAGAAATGGGGCAAACAAACATGAGGTAATCTGAAGAGATGGGGAGACATGGCATATGGAAGCGACAGGAGGGCAGGAGTAAACAGAAGAACGAGTAGGTAGTCAGCAAGAAAAGGGAAAGGTCAAGAAATTGTGGCAGAAACAGGATAGAAGAGGTCGAAATTTAGCGTGGGACATAAAATCGCAGTAGTGGCAACAAACGATCAGGGGAGATCAGAAAATAGGCGTAGGTATACAAGAGGGTAATAGGAGAAGATGGTAGATAATGTAGGTAGGAGAAGGTGGAATATGAAAGACATAGCAAACATTGCAAGCAGAAGGCAACATGGGGCAGAGAGACTCCCTCTCTACCTACAGTAGAAAATTACCGGGAATGCCAGAAAAAGGTATGACGGAGACTAGTGCGAGAACAGAAGAGGGTGGGAAAGAAGGGTGAAGAAAAAGACAGCACAGGAAAGTAGGATGAAGTACGGAAGATAAGAGAGGTCATGAGAGAATAAGAGAAAACAGGAAAGAAGAGAAGAGGGTAGAAGGTAATAGGTCATGAGATATCTATAGTCCTACAGGTGGGGGGTGGGGGGGATATGCGATAACAAAAGGGGCCATAAAAAGGCTGGAAGCGATATCGGTGAGCATGGGAGCGCAGAAGAGATGGGAAAAAATCATGAATTACTAGAGAGGCCAGGAGGGGATTGGACAGGAATCAAGGGGACAGTTCAGAACGATTGAGGAAGGAGGGCACAACAACAGGACACGGCAAGATAAAGAGTGTAAGAAAGGAGAGAAACCTGCAAACATCAGGATAAAAACCGACCGACTAACGTCGCTCTTCAATGAACCGGCGATCTTCAGAGGTGATTGTATCAGGACAACAGAAATGCAAGGTGATGTATCAGCATTATGTTCTCCTGGTTAACATCTTTTTTTAACAAACTATTGTATCCAGTTCACAAAACCAAGGGTACAACAAAAGTCTTTCATTCAGGACCTCATGACTAAAAATATCAGGAGCACATGCGTGTCAGAGGGTGTAAAACATTACTTATTCACTTATAACTTGCCTTATTCTATCTAAATTTGAAGGTTTAAGTTCAGTTTCTAATGTCTAATGTTTCAGTTTAAGCTGCTCGACTGGTGGTCCCCTCCCGGTTTTCTGTATTTATGATTCAGTTTTCGACTTTGAATTCCCGGTTACAAGTTTCCCATTTCCCGTATCTTGCTTTCGCCGTGTTCAGGACTCTACTCTTCTATTACAACTAATTATTATTAGAAAAATGTTGAATGCCAGGAGAGCACGAGATTTTTATAACTTTGGACTTCTATTCTCCTGATACAGTGCAGTGTTTATCTTTCATATCAAGAAACTGAAAACCCGTAAAGCGTTTTGTTGTTCAACTAACATCTTGTTTACGTTTCTGTGTCCCTGGCACAGGAAATAATTAAGATTGTGGTATCAGGAGAGTATAAAAGCTCAAGTTTTGATAGCATACAATATTTGCAATTACCTTTTATGTCTTTGGATTTCTACTATCCTGATACACTGGAGTATTTATTGGGATACTTTTCATACCAGGAAATATAAACCCGTAAAAGTTCTTGCGGTGAAACTCCAAGTGTACGGAACTTACTTGAAATATAAGAAAATCATGTTAAGTGAAGAGCTGTTCCTCGTGTCGGTTACGAGCATCTTTGGCGAAGAGGTTTTTCCCATATCAAGTTACGTTCCGTACGTGCTTGAGGTTTACAAAGTGCCAGAATGTGCTTCTGGTTCTTATTTAAAGGATTATTGTTGGAAATGCTCAGGGCTTAGCGTGGTTCTGAAACAATAATACAAACACTCTTATTATTAGAAGAATATCATACGTAAGGAGGTGCCTTGTAGAGACGCCTGCTATATCCTACGTACAATTTTACTCCAAATGTTTATCGGGTAAACATAGTGTGAAAGAAAATGCATAATTCCAACGCTTCTGTGAAAAATAGGTAACAGGAGAACATAACTCGTAAGAGTGTGACATCAAGAATTTCCAACCAGCTTTACGGGTAATTTTAAATGAAATATTTGGGCTTCAACAATTTCGACAACGTCTTGCATTTCCGTGATCCTGATAGAATGACTTCTTAAGGAAATTGTGTATCAGGACAGCATAATACAAAGGTACTGCATAAGATGGGTCGAAATTTGTATCAGAAGAGCATAAAACACGACACCGTGCACCTCAATATCTTTTAAATTTTCTTGCTTTTCAGGGATTTTGATATGAACGCTTCTGTAAAGAAATATTTCTAACTTTCACACTTTCTTATGCTTCTGTAGTCTTTATAGAACAAGCAATGAGGAACTCTTGCACATTTAAAATTGCATAGGATCCAAGAAACTTAAATCCTCTTTTCAAAGACCAGATATAGTATCAGGACAACATATGCGAAGGCAAAACGGTTGTTTTTTAAATCCCTCTGCTCTCCTGATACATTTAAAAATTTTATATTCAGAAGAAACTTTTCGTAGTCTGGATTTAGTATCCTGAGTAGAAGAAACGATTTTGCTTCTTGCTCCTGATACATTCAAAAATGAGAAACCTTATATTACCTGAGAGCGCATAGTTGCACTTTGTAGGACCCCACTCAAAAAGGAAAATACGAATGCAACTTACTTGGCATAGTAAAAATCGCTTAGTATGCTCTCCTGATAGCTCCAGAAAATATTCCCAGCAATAAACCCTTAAATAAGAACCAGAAGCACATTTTGGCATTTTGTAAACCTCAAGCACGTACGGAACGCAATTTGATATGGGAAAAACCTCTTCGCCAAAGATGCTCTCTTGACATTTCAAGGATGTTTGCACCAAATCGTACCCGGCATGAGAAACAGCTCTTCACTTAGCATGATTCCGTACACTTGGAGTCGCACCATAAGAACTTTTACGGGTATGAAAGGTATCCCAATAAATACTCCAGTGTATCAGGATAGTAGAAATTTATGTAAAAGGTGCCGTGCTACTAGGAGAACATAATATACGAAGAGGTCTTTTCAAGCTCTGTCAGAATTATTTCAAAGCTTTCATTCGATTTAAAAATTTGGCAATTGTGTATCAGGATCATATGATGCGAGAGGAGGTGTTTCTTTTCCTAATACTACACCTGTTACTTGTCGACAAACTTATGTAAATGGTGTCGTGCTACTAGGAGAACGTAATGTACGAAGAGGTCTTTTTCTAGCTCTGTCAGAACTATTTCAAAGCTATCATTCAATTTAAAAATTTGCCATTCTGTATCAGGATCGTATGATGTACGAGGAGGTGTTTCTTTTCCTATTACTACACATGTTACTTGTCGACAAACTTATGTAAAAGGTGTCGGGCTACTAGGAGACCATAATGTACCGAGAAGTCGTTTTCTGTCTCTCTCAGAATTATTTCAAAAGCTTTCATTCGATTTAAAAATTTGTCAATTCTGTATCAGGAGCATATGATGTGCGAGGAGGTGTTTCTTTTCCTAATACCACACCTGTTACTTGTCGATAAACTTATGTTAAAATGTGGTGCTACTAGGAGACCATAATGTAGGAAGAGGTCCTTTTCTAGCTCTGTCAGAATT